CTACACTCTTAGACCACATGTCCTGCAACAGGTTAACTTATTTTAAGTTTTCTTTAAATATAACGCATCACAGATAAATGTAATTTCGTTTTGATTCTTTTGCTTTGTGTTGACATTTCTTTTTCGTCATCCACAAGTGGAAGGCAAGTTTGGAACTAAATAATTTCGATTCGTTAGGTTTCGACTGCGGCGATCCGGTCATTCTACACGTCACGAAATTTTGCTCGACTCGAATGGTCGCTCGTTCACGACTACCGCGATTCGGGCCCAGTATTTTGATGGCTGTTCGCCATTTTTCTAGCCTGCAAACGAATAAGCTGACGAAGATGCAAACAAATTCAAGCACATTGTTGCATTCTACCGTACTTTTTAAAAGCTTTAAAATCTTAAAACATACATATGTGAAAAACGTTTATAATCTGAATATTTCTAATGTCGCAATCAAAACGAAATTTTATAAATAGCATTTTTAAAAAGCCTTCATCTAATATTTTTCAAGTTTTTGGGCATATATGTTACCATTTGAACAACAAATACTACCAAGTTTTAAGAGACTATTTAATGCAACTCAGGTCAAAAAAGAGCAGTTTAGACCAAAATAAGCACAGGAAAACGTCTATTGCTAAGATATCTCACTTGTATTTGTACACAATACTTCGAGACGATCGACAGGGAAATCATGCTAAAAAAAACTCGAAATACATATATTGGTATATATTGGTATAGGTATTGTTTATATGGCACCAAGCGCGGTATCGAATCAACTCGTGTCAGTGTAGATCGCTTGAAATGCAAGTGTTTATATGCAACAAAATAAGTCGATCGAACACGCTTTCAAACAGAGTTCATCCCGATGCAACCCTGTTAATACATGTGTCAATTCTTGGAAATAATAAATATGGAAAAATAATAATTAAAAACTCAAACAGCCAAGAAAAAAGGATATTAGCTATTAATTTTATAACAAAGCTTAGCCTAAATGTAATTTCAAGAACTATTTAAATGTTTTACTTCATACAGAGTTGCATGAAACAACCGACACGATTCAACAACTCTTAACTCGCATTCAAAATGTGATTTATGGTGGCAAGGTTAAAATTCGATTTAGGAATGAGTTTACATGTGTGTGTCCAAATAACATGGTTTGACTTAGAACGAATTGAAGCAACATATAAACATGGTAACGGTTCATTCCCACGACAGCCGATTCTGCGTACCGGAATGACTCGGGTTTTACCCGACCAAGGGCTGTTGTTTCGGCGATCTAACCCCGTTTAGGTCGGCGAAGTATCTCAGAAGTTGTCCGTCCATAGGGCTACATTCACTACGTATTCTTCTACTCAGGGCTGGCATCGAGTCAAACCCAGGGCCAGAAAACTACACCTGCTGTGTATGCCGGAGACGATTACACCACAACTCCACCTCAGTCAAGTGTAATGCCTGCGAGGGGTGGAGTCACCTCAGAGTCTGCTCGGGACTACGGACACATAGACAGTGGACCACATCGTACGTGGCCCTCTGTTGCTCAAACCGAGCAGCCTCCACGGCTAACCACAGTCCGCCCGAGCAGCCTCACACACTCACACAGCAGCCTCACACAGTCACCACAACACAACAACATAATAACACCAGAGACCGTACCACAGCCACTACAGACCACATAACACACACAACCGCACCACCACCCACACGCCGCCGCCAACAACTCCTGGTTCCCCCTACAATCTGCACGGTATGTCAGACCAGGATATTCCGTAATGTGACATCAGTCAAGTGCAACACCTGCCTTGGCTGGTGCCACTTTAGGGCATGCTCAGGTCTGCGTACCACGCGAGATTGGACTGGGAACTTCGAGGGCCCGTGTTGCGCTGCTCGGTCGCAGACCCCAATTGCGACGCCCCCCGCCACCACCACACGTCGGCAATCATCACAGCAGCACACACAGCCAACGGCGGCAAGAACATACACATCACTTACACCCCACATCACGACACGTCTCCCGAACCACATGAAGCTCCTTCAATTTAACTGCAACGCCGCGGTCCAAGAGACGAAGTTGCACAGCAATTCAACTTTGTTGAATTGCGCCGGGTACAACGTGCACCGTCGAGATCGCGAGCGAGATAATGGTGGTGGCTTAGCGTTCATCACGCACCACACCGTGCAGTATCGTCTAATCGAAGCAGACATCGACCGCAGGGATACCACCCTAGAATGTCAGGGCATCGCTATCCGGTCAGGCGATGTCGAGCTCGAAATATTTTACATACACCCTGTCACCTGCTGCCCGGCAGGATATCACCCTGATATAGGTGCGCTCCTCAGAGGTGAAAACCGTATGGTAGTAGGTGACTTTAATGCGCACCACGATCTTTGGCACTCAAGCCTGTCAAACGATCGTAGGGGAACAGACTTGGCTGAGCAGATAGACGATTCGACATTCTGCACAATGAACGACGACGCACCCACCAGGATTATGGGTAACTGCAGTAGCTCGCCAGACATCACAATAGTCAGCGCTGGTCTGATAAACAGCATAACGTGGCGACCTATGCTGACTCTAGCATCAGACCATCTACCCATAGTCATCTCGATAGATAAACCAACCGACTTTGCCTCCGCCAAACACCGGACCTATATCAACTTTTCTAAAGCTGATTGGAAAGGTTACGCGGAGTTTACCGAAAACACCTTCACAGCGCTCCCCACACCAACCGACGTCCATCTCGGTGAACGTAAGTTCCGCAGGGCTGTCACTGCTGCTGCAGCTCGCTTCATACTGGCAGGATGTATATCGGGCCCACGTCCAAACTTCCCTGCCAAAGCGGCTGTTCTAGCCGATGAGCGTGATAGCCTTCGTCAGGCCGATCCCGGAGATCCCCGTATCAGGGATCTCAACGCGGAGATTGGGCAACTAGTAAACGTACATAAGCGGAAGAAGTGGGAGGAGCATCTGAAGACCTGTAATTTTACCTCTGGTGTGAGCAAGCTTTGGTCAACCGTGAGGTCACTGTCTAATCCGACGAAGCACGACGACAGAGTCGAAATTTCCTTCGGCGACCATGCCTCGTCGGACCCGGAGCGATGCGCGAGCTATTTTAGCCGGCAGTTCATACTGCATCCTCCGGTGGACAAAGCCAAGCGTCGAGTGACCAGAAGGCTGCACAAACTGCCAACAACCTGTGCCCCCCTTGCTTTCACTTGCGGTGAAGTTCAGGTGGCCATCGGGAAGGCGAAAGCCTCCAAAGCCATGGGTCCCGACGGAATATGCATGCTGATGCTGAAAAATTTGGGTCCTGCGGGGTAGCGTACCTAACGGAGGTCCTCAACTTGTCAATGGCCACTCTCATCACCCCAGACATCTGGAAGGTGGGGAGAGTGGTCCCACTGCTCAAACCGGGGAAACCTGCCAACAAAGGAGATTCCTATCGTCCGATAACACTCCTTTCCCCGGTAGCGAAGACACTCGAGGCCTTGCTACTCCCGTACTTCACAAACCACCTGACCCCAGCGAAGCATCAGCATGGTTTCCGTAAAGTGCACAGTACAACAACAGCACTTAACGCCATAAACACTCAGATAACTCGTGGCCTTAACCGAAACCGTCCCTGTGAGAGAACGATTCTAGTAGCGTTGGACTTGTCAAAGGCGTTTGACACCGTCTGCCATTCCACGCTACTAGAAGATATAGAGGCCTCCTCTCTCCCACAGAGGCTCAAACGGTGGTCGGCTAATTATCTGATTGGTCGACATTCGTCGGTAATGTTTAGAGATAAAACGAGTAAACAGCGAAAAATAAAACAGGGGGTTCCTCACGGTGGTGTCCTTTCCCCGCTACTGTTTAACTTTTACATTTCAAAGCTCCCTCAACCACCACAGGGAGTCTCGATTGTCTCTTATGCCGACGATTGTTCGATCATGGCGACTGGGAATGGAATTGATGACCTGTGTCCGAAAGTAAACGGGTATCTCTCCGAACTTTCTCGCTTCTTCACTGCAAAGTGTCTAGCCCTCTCCCCTACGAAAACCTCCGCGACCCTGTTCACAACCTGGACGAAGGAGGTCAGGCTACCGCTGGGGATTCACGTCGATGACACACCAATTCCGACGGTGAATAACCACAAAATACTCGGAGTAACATTCGACAGCCTGCTCTCCTTCTCTGCGCACTCAACCGCTATTGTCAATAAAGTACAGAGCCTCAACAAGGTCCTCAAGTCGCTAGCCGGCAGTACTTGGGGCAAAGACAAAGAAACGTTGCTGGCAACATACAAGGCAATAGGCCGGCCGGTTTTGAACTACGCAGCGCCAGTGTGGTCGCCAGGGACTAGTAGGACGCAGTGGACGAAGTTACAGACTGTACAGAACACCGCACTCAGGACAGCGACAGGATGCCTCCTGATGTCGCCTGAACACCACCTACACGGCGAGGC